CCAAGGGTAATCTCTATCCTGACTTTTTAGAACAATTCATTTTGTTATTCTAGCCTCAGCTAGTATTTTAATGTGGCCCAGAAATCCTTTTACTCATCCCTATCTTCTCTTTTCCCTATCCATAATGACCTTTCCAAATATTTCCCATTCTCCTTAATTTCACTGTTTCATTCAGTCACCCTCAGCAGATGGCCTAACAATCACCAGGGAAATGTAAGACATCTCTCCCAATTTATCTCCAAACCTACCTATCTTTACCCATCATTACTTCCTTTTCTCCTGTCTCTTAGCATTCTAAGTAAGGACATGAAGAATCTGGTCCATGCCTCTCTGGTCTAACCTGTTGCCACCTCCCCTATCTTATGTACATCCCACACCCCAGCAGTCAGACAAAATCCTCAAAGTTTCCTTTTATGCATAGTTATTTTCACATCTTTGAGCCTTTGCGTGTACTGGCCCTTCTTCCTGAAATACCTTTCTCTTCCCTTCTCCAGACGTCGTATCTTCCAGGAAGCTTTCCTAATGATCTAGTCAAAATTTTGTGTTCTCATGGCAATTTGTTCTTACTGCTATTATTAATATAAAGTATATCCTAAGCGCTTATTAATCTGTTGTGTCCCTACATTATACAGTACACTACTCGAATAGGAATTGGATTTTCTGTGTCTATATCCCTGCATCTAGCTATCTGCCATGTAATGGGTACTCAATATAATGCTGAGTGAATTTTACTTTTTAAAACCAACTCCTTCATTTGTACCACAGCTTTCCTCTTCTAGAACTTTTCCATCACTATCCTAACCTCTCCTTTAATTTTCTTTTAATGTTTTTCTATCCACTAGTATTCTCAAGACTTTCCCCACCCTTAAAAAGACACAAATCCTTTTCTTTATTGCTGCCTTCTCACTAATCAAACCTCTTCAGAAAACATACTCTTGTTTTCTCCACTTCATCACCTCCTTGTCACTCTTTAACTCATCGAATTCTGGCTTCTGCCATCATCACTTTACTAAAGCTGCTTATTATTCAAAAGTTACCAATAATTTCTTAAGAACTGAACATACAAAAATGTGTTTTTCTTGATCTATTCAATCCTTAGCAATGGGAGTTATGATATCTGAATAAAAAACAATGAAGCAGAAAAATACCTCTATGTTAGTTGCATTCAGCTTCTCCTCCATTACTTGTTTAAGGATGATGAGTGAAGACTTGATGGCCTCTTTCAGAGTCATAGACTTGAAACAAAGATGGTGAGAAGATAAGCCATTAATTATACATAATCCCTCCTTCCTA